TTTATCGTTAGTTTGAAGGCTGGGAGTACAGCTCAGTGGTAGAGCCACGTGAGGCCTTAGGTTTGCTACTCGGTGTCCCACCTCTCACCCCCACCACATTATAAAAATTTGGTGTCTGCTGTTGCATTGACCTTGTTGGGAATAACACAGAACTGAAAAGCCTTTGAATTCTCAAGAATCTCATCCAGCAATATCTCATTACAAATTAAAATTTCCTGGTACTGGGGCTGGTGAAATGGCTCAAGTGGCAGAGTGCCTGTCTAGCAAGTGTGAGGGCCTGAGTTCAAACCCCAGTACAGAAAAAGAAGTTACATTTCCTCAATAGCTATCCAATAGTCCATTTGGGAAGAAATTGATAAAAATAGGCATTCTTGTCAATAATTCACACATCCGTGGGTCATGGCAAGACAGCTGATCATTTGCTCAAAGTTGTTGAATCTACAAAGTGCTCTAAGTTCATTATTCCACAAAGTTGGGGATATTTGGTCATTGGGGCCTAGAAGTGAGTGTGGCTGGCACTTCATGTCCCCAGCGCAGGTGGGAGGTGGGTGGACAGAGCACAGGTCAATGGAACAAGCCTACCAGAGTGCACACACCCGCAGGACTGCTCTCCATACGGCACCTGAGCACTCCCGACTTGAAAGGGCCTCAGAGGCCTCCTGATCAAACGTACATGAAAGTCGAATTCCTCTACAAATTCCTTTTCTTGAGGGGCTTGGTGGGGTCGTCCAAATCTGAGTTTTCCAAAGTGAATTTAATTTTTGAAAGCAGCCAAAGCTCATTAAAGCCAAGTCTAGTAAATGAGCAGGTTGGAGAACATAAAAGGACAAAACTGGTTTGCTCATCTGACCTGCAAGGTGGTTTTTGAGAGGCAATTCCAGAAGCATCGAAAGAAATAGCTGACGGTGTGGGCACCACCTCTGCCAGGCAGATGAAAGGTATAGAAAAACCAGGATTCACAGACAAACCAAATAAGTGAAAACATCCAAAATCTCAACCCCATTCCCAACTTGACGATTGTCTTTCCATACCCTTTACTGCTCCTCCCCATAGCTACGTACTTTCACCTGGATCAAATCTTTTTTTTCCTTTTTTTTTTTTTTGAGACTCACTTTTGTTTGAATCTCACTAAGTAGTCCAAGCTGGCCTTGAACTTGTGGTCCTCCTGCCTTAGCCTCCTGAGTGTTGGTTCTTTAAGCATAAGCATCATCTTTGGCACTGTTCGCCCATGAAAATGATGTTCCTGAAATGTTTCTGTTGGTTTGGGAAACTGCTCATGTGCAAAGAAAGGAGCAGGTTATCCCAGCACACTCATGTAGTGAGCTCCTGTCTCAAAAAAAAAAAAAAAAAAGATCTGATCCAGGTTAATAGCTATGGGGAGGAGACTGTAAGAGATATGGAAAGACATCAAGTTGTGAATGAGGCTTGGGATTTGGAATCTTTTCAATTATTTGGCTTGTCTGTATATCCTGATTTTTTGTAACAGCAAGCTATTTTTATAATACAAAGATAAAGGAAAACATTCAAATAGAGAACAATAGAGCCTGCTCTCTTTAACAAGGAGCTTGATGCGCCTGTGTTAGTTTGTAGGGTTGTTGTAACAAAGTTCCCCAAACTGGGTGTGAACACAGAAACTTGTCTCTCAGTCTGCAGGCTGAGAGTCTCAGGTCAAGGTCGTTTCTTCAGATACTGCAAAGGATCTGTTCCCTGGCTCTCCCAGCTTCTGGTGGCTTGCTGGCAACCCCAGGCCTCTGCTGCCTCACTCCAGTCTCTGCCTTCATCTTCACAAGGTCTGCTCCCTGAGTCTGTCTGCATATGAATTTCATTTTTCACAAGGACACTGGTTATATTGGATTAGGGGCCCACCCTACTCCAGAGTGACTCATCTTAACTCATCTGCAACAACCCTGTTTCCAAATATGATCACATTCTGAGGTCTTGGGGGTTACGCCAGAATGAATTTGAGGGCGACACAGTTCAACCCATAAGCGTACTCAGGGAGATAGCCACACTGCCCCTGTCCAACTGAGGTCAGCACTAACCTGACACCTGTGTGCAGCCTGGGCGTGTCCCCAGTGGGATGGGGACAGGGACACTGACCTTTTCCTGCAGGACTCCAGTCCTATGTGAGGCCCTGGGTTCAATCCTCAGTGCCAAAACACAAACAAGTATTTCTTCCTATTTTTGCTAGGCTTTAGTAGTACATGCCTGTAAATTCCAGCTACTCAGGAGGCAGAGGCAGGAGGATCACAAGTTTAAAGCCAGCCCAGGTGTAGGAAACAAAAAGGGGAGAGGCTGGGGGAGTAGCTCAAGTGGTAAAAACCTGAGCACAGCCTCCTTGCCTCAGGACGCCCAAGCCAGGTGTTAAAGACACAACAGACTTTCAGATTAGCACATCTGATTTAGGGAACATAGTTTAAAGAACATGGAAAAAAAATGACACATTTTTACTTTTGGTTGTGTATTGGCTTTCTGACTTACAAAATAAAACAATAAAACCAGAAAGACCAAACGAAAAGGGAGAAAAAATATTACGAGTATTACACTAAAACCAGCATGTGGATGTTTATAGTAGTTTATTCGTAATCTCCATAAACTGGAAACATTCAAGATGTACCTCAATGAGTACAGGGGTAAACAAACTGGTACATCTACACAATGGAATATTATTCAGCCATAAACAGAAATGAGCCATGAAAAGACAGAGAGGAACCTTAAATGAATTCAGGGTGCTAAGTGAAAGAAGCTAGTCTGAGTAGGCTGCATAGTGTGTCATTCCAACTGTGTGACATTCTGGAAAAGGTAAAACTATGGAGGCAGCAGAAAGATCAGTGTTGGCATTGGCATTGGATCAGTGTTGGATTTGGAGGGAGGGAGAAAGGCAGAGTTCGGGAATTTTTATTTAATTTATTTTTTGGCAGCTTATGGATTTGAACTCAGGACCTAGTGCTTGCTAGCTAGGTGCACTACACTTGACCACAGCCCCAGCTTTTTTAGTTTAGTTATTTTTCAGATAAGGTTTGTGCTTCTACCTGGAGCCAGCCTTGGGCTGTGATCCTCCTTGGACTTGTGATACCTCCCAAGAAGCTGGGATTATAGGCATGCACCAACCTGCCCAGCTAGTTTAGGATTTTTAAGGTGGGTACATGTCATAGATTATAGATCACAAAGAGGAATTGTAATGTGGACTTTAGCTATAGCACCAGTGTCTGCTCATCGGTTACATCAAATGCACCAGACCAATGCAAGATGTTAATAACAGGAAACTTTGTTCAGGATAGAGAGGGGAAGGAAGCATTTACTTACCTGATCTTCTTGTAAACCTAAAATTCTGTAAAAGTAAAATAAAGTCTCTTAAGTAAAAATCAACCCCATCCCATATCTTCTGCATAAAGAAATTTAAAAGAAATCGTGTCTCAATAAGGGAAAGGAGTAAAGTAGGTAGTCAGCTACCCGCAAGGGGCCCTTGCCAGATAAAAGTTTGGGAAACTGCAAGTTTCCTCCTTTTCAAAGGCAGCTGAGAAGACACAGATGCCTGAAGTGTGAACCAGCAGGGTAGATTCAGACACCCCTGACTGCCCACACCTATCTCAGACTCAACAAAGCCCTTCAAATGGGGCTTGGGGTGGGTAGAGGAACCAAATTCTTATTCAAAGAAATAACCACTTGGATCATGCACAAGAGTGTCAACAAGTTATGTAGATCTTATCAGCTTCGCATTTTTGGTGCCTCCCAGCTATCCAGCCAGGCTCCACCAGCCTGTCAACACCATCAGCAGCCCACGCCTCCAGGGCCCATCAACACCTTGGAGGCTCTGCCTGGACCAGGCCTGTCTCCCCAGAGCCCCAAGGAGCCTGGATTCTCTCTTTCAGAATACCATCATACCCTCCACTCATGGTGGATGAGTACTCACTGTGACTTGGTTGGGGCCTGATGTCCATAAAACAGAACAATACCTTTATGCTAACTTTGTAAAGTACTCAAGGTGGGAACATCTGACATCTGCATGTCTGGAAGAAAAGAGTGTACAGTTTCAGTCATGTGAGGAGAAATCACACAGCCATCGCTGAAATATTTTAAGCTTATAAAAGGTACTTCCACATTTTTGGAAAATTGTGAATTAAGGAAGAAAGGATAATATTCGTTGAGATTTTTTTTTTCCTCCCAATCCCCTCTAAAAATGAAGGCCTCACAGTTCTGGAAATGTGTGCGTCTGTGTGCATGTGTGTGTCTGTGTGTATTCAAAATGTACACATACGTGGCTCTATGATAATGCAGCCTGTCAAATGCAACTTCACTAAAGGATACAAAAACCTTTTATTTGACTAATGAGAGCGATAGTCTTTTTTTTTTTAATTTTTATTTTATTCATATGTGCATACAATGTTTGGGTCATTTCTGCCTCCTTCCCCCACCCCTTTCCTTACCTCCCCCCTCCCCCGGCCCCCTCCCTGTCCCCCCCACCCCCTTGATACCTGGCAGAAACTATTTTGCCCTTATCTCTAATTTTGTTGAAGAGAGAGTATAAGCAATAATAGGAAGGAACAAGGGTTTTTGCTGGTTGAGATAAGGAGAGCTGTACGGGGAATTGACTCACATTGATTTCCTGTGCATGTGTGTTACCTTCTAGGTTAATTCTTCTTGATCTAACCTTTTCTCTAGTTCCTGGTCCCCTTCTCCTATTGGCCTCAGTTGCTTTTAAGGTATCTGCTTTAGTTTCTCTGTGTTAGGGGCAACAAATGCTAGCTAGTTTTTTAGGTGTCTTACCTATCCTCACCCCTCCCTTGTGTGCTCTTGCTTTTATCATGTGCTCAGAGTCCAATCCCCTTGTTGTGTTTGCCCTTGATCTAATGTCCACATATGAGGGAGAACATACGATTTTTGGTCTTTTGGGCCAGGCTAGAGAATGATAGTCTTTATAGCTCAGCTTTCTTTTATAATTACCTGTTCATTAGCACTGAGGTCAGTGAACGGCTCTACTTGTTTGTTTTCATTTTTAGGCAGCTTTAAGTGCCTTGAAACAATTTTCTGAGCAAAGCCTGGATCCAATCGATGGAACAATGAATATTGAAAAAGCTTCTCTTGAAAAGTGAGTAAATCCTCCATCTGTTTTTCAATCTGCAATTTTGTAACTGTACAAAACATGTGACAAAACATGTAACAGATCATTATAAGCTTAAAAATCCAGACAGTGATATCCATGTCTTACAGAATTACTCATAACACAGTTAAATTGGATAAATGAGAACCAGTATATATGGTCCTAGTCATGTTCTATAACAAGCCCGTGAAAGTGTCAACCTATGAATTGGTCATTAGTTCTGCATTTTGATGCCTTTGTTGGAAACATTGATGAGTTTTCTTAACTGTAGAGACTTAAAAAACTTTACGGAAGATTGCTTTCACCTCGTCCTGTTGACCACGTGTTGGCCAACCCATTTTCTGAGGTAAACAAAATTTTCATTTACATCCCTTCTAAGTTGTGGGCACGAGTGAGAGAAGAGAAATGAAGATGGGGAGGAGGTGGTCCTCCCAGTCTGCATTTGCTTTGTCACACTGTTGTATGGAAGGCGAGCAGACATTGCCACCAAACAGGGACCAAGGTCTGCAAGAGCAGCAATGCACGGAAATGCACCTCACATAATCGTTTCCGAAACCCAGCTTGTAGATTTTTTAATAAGATGTACACAAAGGGGCTGGTGCACAGCTTAAGTGGTAGAGTGCCTGCCAACATGTGCAAGGCTCCAAGTTCAAACCCAACTACCACCAAAAAAAAAAAAAAAGATTTAAATATAAGGTCCTGTCTAAGAGACTGAATTTTTACAAGAGAAATGGAGAACATGTTATATTTACATGGTAGAATCCAAACACTATCAAAGCAATAGAAATAGTGAGATCTCAGAACCCATATTGGAGATAATACTTTTAGAATTAAAGTAAAAATAGGTAACCCAGGAAGTAAGAACCAGATATTTGGATCCTACTGTTAAACGAGAATACAAACAAACAAACTAGAAAAACAACAACAATGCCAGCGTCTGGTCATTAATATTTAAAAGGTAAGGGCGTGAGAAGAAAACATTTGGTAAACAGACGTGGTGTTTTAAGTTGTCCATAGATTGGCAACCATTTATAAGCTAATTTAATCAAAACCATTTCCACATGATCTCATCCGCAGACTATCTGAACATAAATATTGTTGTTTCACTTTAAAATGTCACTTTTGTGGTGACCTTTGAATCCTGTGTGCCATCTGCTAATAAACATGTCTGAAGATGTACAACCCCGGACCTCAGCTCTTGTTAATGTATTAATCTTTCAGACAAGCCAAGCATCCGAGAGAGAAAGCGGACAATAACCAGGCGAGCCCCGGCCCCACCACTCAGGACTGCAAGAAATCAAAGCCGGCCATCTAGCAGCCACCAGAACCCACGCTGCTACTGCATCCTTATAAACCTGTCAGCACGCATGAGGGTGTCTGTGTTGAAGGAAATGAATGACTAATAGCATTATTTGAGTGTTATGTGAAGACAACACTATTCTAACACGAGAGATAATATAAGTAGTACTGTTGATTCAACTGGCAAAAAATAAAACTTGGAGCATTTCCCTTGGAACTTGAGATCAGATCATAACTCATTCGCCCAGAGGCACTGGAAATTTGATCCTGCTACTGGAGCTTAAAATAACAATTAATGAAAAGTGTTAGAAACAGAGCTCAAGTTTTAAAAATGGTTAATAGGGAAGTTGGGTTTGGTTCCGTTGTTAGGATTGTTTTTGTCGTGACGCTTGTGTTCAGTTATAGTCTCTCTCTCCTTTGAAATAATGCCTGACAATTTGAAAATTAACCAATGACGTGCTGTGGAATGTGATGGTGGTTGTCTTCATATCGAGTCACACTGTTTCTCTTTTTATGCAGGTATTTGTAACCCTCATCCTATATCGATATGAATTACTTTAAGGTGCACTACGCAGAGATGTATGCAAACAAATAACTTTTAAATCAGGTCAGATATTTGATTAAAAATATGAAGTAATGCTAGGAACAAGTAGTTTCCATATACTCCAGGAATTAAAAAAAAAAAAAAAAAAAAAAAAAAGAAACAAAACCAAGCAGTTGTGGGTTTTGAGCTCCATGATATCATTAAGCACTCAGGGGGCGTCTTGCCTCTGCACCTCATCTTCCTGGATTCCACTGTCTGTCGTGGAAATCCTGCCCACCCATCTGTGTGTCGTAGCCACTCACTGTTTGATCAAGAGTGTCTTTATTAACAGCCTCTGGAGTCAGGACAGTGAGTAGGATCAAAATAAACACTGTACAGGGCGGGGAAGGGAAAGACTGTTGGAGAAGCTTCTAGCCAGCCACGCTTTGGACCAGCATGTTGGAATCCAGCGTGGGGCAAATGCAGTAAAAACTTGGTTGGTTTCTGTGTGAAGTGTTGTTCTTGTTGTTTTTTCGATCCCTCACTCTCATCTTCTAAATATCACCTCAGTGAAACTCATCTGGAAGGCCACCACCTGGCCTGATCGTCCTGCCCAGCAGTGGAATTAAAGAGTGGCCTGTATCTGCGAAACTGCAGAGCCGCCCCCTGGGTGACTTGGGCCTGAGTCGGTATGGGTCTGGTCACCAACGTCATCTCATTGTTCAGGCTTTCTCCTTATTGATTTGCAAACGTTGTGCAATGAGAAAACAACACTTGTAAGGTCTAACTGCTCGACCCAACCTGACAATAGGGATATAATTATGTAAGATTTCACAAGCAAAACCACCACAAATCATGATCCAGTTGCTGACTCACACGCGACTGAGAATATACAAACAGCGCCATGAGGAAATAACTCCAGGGTTCTTAATGATTCCCACGTGGGGAAGCCGTCAGTATGGGGAGGGCTGGGTGCCCATGGAGGAAATAAGTTTTGTTACATAAAGCTGGGTCCTTGTGAAAAGAACAGCACGTTTGCAAAGGTGGAGTTCCCAAAGGTAAAGTGTTTGAAACATAGTCCTGCTGCCTAACCCGTGGGTGCAGAGTCGCAAATCATTCTCTTAGAAGGAGGAGGCCCTGTCTTTTGATAGGACCTGGCCACCTGAGGCTTCTGCCCCCAGATGAGGTGGGGGCCATCTTCAGCCAGGGTCACCAAAATGACTCTTCAGTTCACCTAACACAATAAACACCACTACCTTCTGGCTGGCAGGTCTGTGGGAGAGTGATGAGTTCAGGAGACAAAGCTAATCAGTTCTCATGACCCAAGCAGTGGGAACATTTAACTGGAGCTGTCTGACGCCTGGTCCCCCTCAGAGCTGATATGCCCCAACCCAAAGAGCAGTGGTGGTGGCCATGGTGAGTGGAAATTTGCATAGAATCTCAAGTTTACTGCTAGATTCTTTATTCAAATCCTGTGTCCTCTACCTGCTAAGCCCAGGAAGGCCTTCTGGTATTTTCCCTGGAACAACAGAGCTTCCGGGGAATTGTCTGGTTTTTTTTTTTTTTTTTTGGTTGAATTACCAATGCAAATGATGGGTGGCCTGCAGTCCCTGCAGTCCCAACTGCACTGCTCAGTTCCAAAGCACAATGTTATATATCATTAGAGGGAAGTCATTAAGTAGATTTATTGAAAGAATGTTTCTTCAGCACAAGGAGATCTTTTTGATGAAAAATGGAACTCATTATTCTTTAAAGGACACAGATTGACTTATCTCCTTTATCAATTACAGTGTCTGCTTTCAGCTTGTCTCAATCAGCACAGCGCTTTGTAGTCACTTCCTAGTGCAGAGGCCCACGTGCTTTATGAAAAAGGTTTATTTTTACCTTTTTAATTGGAAATATAATATTGCACTTTGGAACTCTGACCATCTTTTCCAGTACAACTTGCCAAAGATCAATGGTAAGACACCACCCACTGGGCCATGACACACATTCCTCCCTTTTCCTGGGTGATCTCTCTGAGAAGGTGTGCTGCCATCCTTCTCCCCAGCAAACATTCTCAACTGTGATTTATTTTTTTTTTTGACAGTTTTGACCAATTTCACACATCATAAAGTAAAAGTCAATGAATGAAAAACTTACTTTGTTATACAAAGGCTTTGGGGGGACTCTGAAAGGCTTTGGAAATGTGGTCCAGACTCGATGACTGGTGTTTAAGTCCTGCTCAGGTGAGTGAGCACTGTAACTACCCAGGCTTTGTTTTGAACCTTTCAGTTTCCAAAAGCCATTGTTACCATTGTAGACAAGAATGATAAAGAACTTGACAGTTTTGCACATGGACCTGGTAAATCATGAATGCAAAACCAGGTGTAAATTTGTCTTTGAGTATCTCAGAGCCTAAGCCATCCTGATATAAGCACTTGGTGAATACTTGATATTTGCCCCCAACCCCAGGAGGACTGAGAGTTTTTAAATCAAGAACATGGCAAGTCCAAAACTCCTCAGAGGCCTTTGGACTCCTGGGACTGTCCTTCCCCATTTCCCATTTCTGCACTTAAATTCCTCCCCTAGAATAGCAGGCAGCATTCCAGTCCCCATCCCCACACGCATTCCTGTGTTTCTGCAATTTCATGTATTTCTTCACGAGATAAGACTTTTTTTTTTTTTTTGCAGTACCGGGTTTTGAACTCAGGGCCTACACCTTGAGCCACTCCACAGCCCTTTTTGTGATGGTTTTCTTTGAGACAGGGTCTCACAGAGTAGTTGCTCATGGTGGCTTTGAACTGCAATCCTCCTGATCTCTGCCTCCTGAGTACTAGGATTGCAGGCGTGAGCCACTGGTGTCCAGTGAGATAAAACTTTTTAATATCTAGTTCAAAGCACAGACTTCCTTAGACCTGGTCAAACCCAACTGTCTGTTTCTGGAAAACACCATCTGAGTTCCAACAACCTTACAAGACTCATAAATCCCTCATTGAGGAAATTCTTTCCCACCCCCCCACCCTCCCCCATGGCTCTTTCTCAGGGTTTGAACTCAGGGCCTTGCACTTGCTAGGCAGGGTCTCTATCACTCGAGCCATCCCTCCCTTGTTGCTTTAGTTATTTTCTATATAGGGTCTCAGATTTTTCTGGAAGCCATGGACCTCAATCCTCCTTACCTTGATTCCTGCATAACTGGAATTACAGATGTAAAACACCACACCTGGCCCTTCAGGTTCTAATCGCTTAACATAATTGAGATCATTGGGAGCTCCTCGGACTGTCTGAGTTACTATCTGAGAGATAGTAACTATTGGAACTAGCTGAGAGATAGTAACAAGAAGCAGGGAAATGGCCTTTGGTTTTCCTGGTCTGTAGAAATCAGGTCACGAATGACAACTCTACTGCCTTTTTTTTTTTCATTATTTATGCATGCTAAAGGGACGGAGGATTATTTACAAGATACTAATTTGGGAGCACTGCAAAGTTTTTATATTTTACTCTAGGTAGTTTTATGAGTCATTCAGGATACTTTTGTAGTTCATCAGATTTTTGAAACTAAAGACTGAAAGGATTAAATAAAACCAAACAGAATGCTACAGACTTTACAAACTTGAAACCAATCTATGACATTTGGGAGAATGTTACTCAGTTATTGAACCTTCCCTGCTTCTTAAGTTGAGAGTAAAAGCTAACACATGATCATAATGAGGTCTGCTCCAGTCCTGAAGAATCTGAGAGGTAGTGAGACAGCTATCTGTCGGGCTGTCTCCCTAAACAGCGATTGGGTTTTCATGGATGACGACTCAACCCTGCTCCCTAGGGATAAACCGGGGACGGCCATATCCGTGCAATGTGGGCCGGTGGTGAACACCTGGTTCAAGATGGTCAATCAGAGATAGCTTCCTAAGACTGTGGGCATGAAATAAAAAAAAAAGTCAGCGTTACTTCACATGTCCAAAAACTTGGGTTCTATTGGTAGCCATGTTGTCTGATGTGTGCATTTGAGAAGCAGGACCTAGTTTGGCGAGAGAGATAATGGAAAATTGAGAGGGGAGAAATTCCTCTTTTTTCTTTTCTTTTCTGTATTTCTGTTAAACAACCTTCTGGCTTTGTAGCAAATTTTCCGTTTCTGGAAATTTAACGATTTTCATAACTTATAACAAAAAGGATGCCCTCATGGATGGAAGAGAGGTATTTTTCTTCCAGGTTTTCTTTTTTTTTTTTTTTTTTGTGGTGCTAGGGTTTGAACTCAGGGTCTCACACTTGCTAGTCAGGCAGTCTTCTACTTGAGCCACTCTGCCAGCCCTCCTTCCAGGTTTTTTTATTAAAAACTTGACATTTAAGAGGGACAAAATTTGAATGTAAGCATACAACTATGCTTTATGGGAAGATAAGTTTAGAGACCATCATTTTATGCATAGGAAAGCTGAGGCCCAGGAAGCCATACCCCTTGTCAAGAACACAGCTGTGTCTGAACCAGCCTCCTGGACTAGCCTCCTAGACCAGCCTCCTAGACCAGTGCTCTTTCCCTGATCGCCACTGATGGACTGAAGTACTGCACTTACTTTTACAACATGTGCACACTTTTTAAAAGTCCATGTATTTATGCATATTCTGATCCCTGGATTTTGGATGAAAAGCTGAAACTTGAAGATGGTAAATGACTTCAACAAAGCTACATACTAACAGAACAAGAACTAGAAATTTATTTCCAGGTAAGAGGCTCCATCCGATAGGCCAGACTTTTCCATCCAGGTCACCATTGATGCAATGAAGTGGGGAAACCATCACAACACAGTGTTTCACTTTGTCATTTATTCCACAAACAGTTAGTGAGTACTGATTCTATTGAGGTGAGCACTTCCAGGAGATACAATGAGGAATTAATTGGGTTGGTGGGCTTTTGAATGTTGGTGAGATTTAAAGTTTTCACCCTCATGTAAGTACACATGGTTCAGGGGGCAGTGAATGTTTGGGGTATGATGGGGGAGAGCTAAGAGGCATTACTACATCTTATCTCCTTGAAAACAGACATGGCTCATTTGACAGTGTCACCAGAAAATGTAATATAGTGCCCAAGGAATAGGAACATGAGTGAGGGAATAAATAAGTGACTGACTGAAAGAGACAAGGTGAACCACTAGCTGTCGAATTTTGAGTACAACCACGCAATTATTCAAGTTCATTTCCTTACCAGTTTTTTTCACTAGCTAGAATGGGAAGTCTTTAGAGTGAAGTTATTTTCTGAATTCCCATCTGAGTCTTAGAACTGAGTTCAGGAGAGACTAGGCAATCTTGGCCACATTTTCTTTCACATTTTGCTCATCAGTATTGAAGAGGGCCTAAACAAGGGAGGAGACTTGGTTATTTGGGTAGGTGGGAGACAATGGAAAGAATTTGGGTTGAAAACCAAAAGTGGCTGAGGAAGCCATGCTGCCTTGAAGGAGAGCAAATGAATGGGAATTTCTGGAGAATACTCCGATGGGCACCGAGTAGGTGTTCCCTGCTGAACACCTTCTCCTTGGCTTCAGAATGAGCAGCCAACATCTTCCAACTCCTCGTGAGCCTGCCCCCAAATCTTATACATCATACTCATTTTCTAGAATTGCTTTTGGCCACTGGTCCTTCCTCATTCTCTGAGTGCAGAAGAAGGAACATGATCTCTCTTCATGAACTTAAGATGATTACTAAGCTTCCAGCTTTGGCAAAGACCAGGACTGGATGTGAACTCCAAGGAGAATGTAGCCAATGGGTTGTCTCTGAATTTCTGATATCAGGGAATCTCAGAACCTTTTGTTGTTGTCGTTGTTGTCTTGGCCTG